CAGACCAGGCAGAGAGCCCCCTCCTTCCCTCCCGAGGCAAACCTATCCCTATTAACCGCCCTTCAGGTTTTCACACTGCAGAGGACCCAGCCATGAACAGCTTTATGCACGTGTCTTCCTTCCTTCTGTATATCTTTGGAATCAATTCCTAGAAGCTTAGATTGCCTGGTCAAAGGGTATAGAGATGTAGTTTTTCTAGAAATCACCAAATTCCCCTCCATATATGGCTCCCACCACTTCATATTCCCAGCAGACAGGGTGTGAGAGGGCCTGTGTTCCCACGGTACTGCTGAGGGGGCATTCTGTTCTTTGGCCTTTGGCTTGTCGCCAGTCTGATAGATGACAAGTAGCATCTTGGTTAAGTTTTAATCTGATTGTGAAGAAGGTTTTACAGCGTTCTATATATCCAGAGCCGGATTCACTTTTGTGTCTTCAGTGTCCTGCAGGGAGCCCTGAGAGAGAGTTCTAGAACAAAGGAATAAACACACACACACACATACACAAAACAAACAACAAAACTAACAGACAAGCAAAAAAAAAAAAAAAAAAAAGAAAGAAACTAGGTAGATAACCAGATAAGAAAATAAAGTCTTAAAGCAGGTGTCTGACATGACCAAGGTCATGTGTCTCCAACAGGCATCAATGCTGGTGCTAGAGTTGATTTCATTTGTCTCTCTTTGTCTAATTCTAAATGCTTTCCTGACTAAAAATTGAAGAGCAGCGTATAGATAAGAGTTTAGCAGGCACAAGAAACTGTAAATAGGAAAATGTGACTTTCCACCTTGTCATCCATCCTTTGCAGTTTATTTTCTCACCGAGTTTATTCTTTTTTTTTTTCTAAGATTATCCCACTCATGGTTTTAAACTCTTTTTATTCCTTTACACATTTTAATCTATTTATTTGTGAGTGTGTGTGTGTGCTTGTGTTACCGTGCTTGTGTGAAGTCAAAAGACACCGTGTAGGAGTTGGTCCTCTTCTCCTACCGTGTGGGTCCCCAGGATTAGGCCATTGATCTTTGCGGCAAAAGTCTTTACCTGCCAAGATGTCTGCCAGCCCTCAGTTACTTTTCCCCTAATGTGTTTTAGTCACTATAATGAATTATCAGAGGAAATCTCTTTATGAGAAACGAGGTTTATTACCTCACAGTTTTGGAGGCTGTAAATCTCAGCAGGGAGGGCCAGACTCAGGGAAGGGTCTCACACAGATGGTGGAGGATGGATGTGTGGCATTTGGAACAGAAAGCTGGAGAGCTGGTGTGACCAGTAGTTTCTGTCAACTTGACACAAACATATCTGTAAAGAGGAATTTTGCTTGTTTGCTTGTTTTGTTTTGGCTTTTTTTGAGACAGGGTTTCTCTGTGTAGCCTTGGCTGTCCTGGACTCGCTTTGTAGACCAGGCTGGCCTCGAACTCACAGATGTTACCTTGCACATCTGTAAATCCCTGAGTGCTGGGATTACAGGTGTGTGCCACCGTGCCTGGCCGAGAGAGACTCTTGATTGAAAAACTGCCTTCATCAGGTTGGCCTGTAGGCAAACCTGTAGGACATTTTCTTGATTAATGATTCATGTGGAAGGGCCCAGCGCATCCAAGATGGTGCCACCTCTGGGCAGGTGAGCATGGCTGAGCAGGCCATAGGACAGGCCGGTGAACAGTGGGTTTCCATGCTTTTCTGCTGGAGTCCCTGCCTCCGGGCTTTTGCCTGAGTGCCTGCCGGGCCTGGTGTGATGATGGACTGCAACCTGTGATGTCAGATAAAGCCTCTCCTCTCTGGGTTGCTTTGGTTATTGTCATTATCACAGCAATAGAAACGTAACCAGGACCGGCGGGTGGCCAGGCTCAGGCTTTTCTAAGCTCTCAGGAGTGCTACATTAATCTCCTTTGAGGACAACCTAAGATATTAGGTGCCACCTCTTAAACAGTCCAGACACGCTCACATCACCACCTACAGACCAAGCTTCCCAAACATGAACCTTTGGGAGGGACAGTCAACATCCAAAACACAGATCCCATTCACCACAGCTCTGCAAATGTAATTCAAATGGCCACGCTTTGCTTTCCCTGTTCCAATATGCCTTAATGTATTTCTTTTCTGTTACTGCCAGACTTCCAGATCATTTCCAGATTTTTGCAGTTATGAAAATATTCTACCACGTTAATTTTTGTTCATGTCCTGGATTTTTACCCCTTAGAATTGATTCCTGGAATCCCAGAACTCTGATCCAAGTTCATGGCTTTTCTTGGCCACACTTAGAGGGAAGAGTCTGTCAAGCTTTGCCCCTTGACTCGGCCTGCTTCTCACAGCCTGAGATCTCTAGGACAGACAACTCCCATCTAAGGCCACTTAGAAGATGGATAGGCTGTCATCCACCCAGGACAAAAAAAAGGTGGGGGGTCTCTCCTAATGTCCACTCACATTCTCTGCCTCCCCAGGCCTGTGGACAGATGACCTGGAGCCAATAGGATAAAGCCACACACAGGCAGCAGATAAACAGAGAGGTGAGGGGCAGTCTGGATGCTAAGCAGGCCTCTGTGAGCACTCACGGGGAGCACTCAAGGGGCAGTGGAGCAAATGCTGGGAAGGACTGCACAAGCCAAAGATGCTGAGAGCCGGGGAGGCTGCCTGGAGGAAGCAGCAGGTGCGTGTAGTGATAGGAACACAGGTCTTCCTTGACAGATGAGGTGGTGCGGTGGGCCTTTCCTAGCCAAGTCCAGAGACACTGAATCTTACCCACAGACAGGGAATCAGGGCATGCCAGCAGTGTCCTCATGGAGAATAATCCTTAGGCTGCTAGGGATGGGGGCTAGATTGAGGGTAGGAACTGGGCAAATGTAAGGAGAGGCCACCAACTATCTATAGTGTGGCAATAGAATCTGAAGAAGAAGAAGAAGAAGAAGAAGAAGAAGAAGAAGAAGAAGAAGA